ACAGCCTCGCCCTCACCGCCGACGGCGCTGTCTGGAGCTGGGGCGGTGGAAGCTTGGGACAGTTGGGCCACGGCGACCTGCAGAACCAGCTGCTGCCCAAGAAGATCGAGGCTTTGGCGGGCCAGCGCGTCGTTGCTGTGTCGGCTGGAGATGGTTACAGCCTTGCTCTCACCGCCGACGGCGCCGTCTGGAGCTGGGGCTATGGCTACTCGGGCAGGCTGGGCCACGGCGACCAGCAGGACCAGCTGCTGCCCATGAAGATCGAGGCGATGGCTGGCCAGCGCGTCCTCGCTGTGTCGGCTGGATTTGCGCACAGCCTCGCCATCACCGCCGACGGCAGCGTCTGGAGCTGGGGCCGTGGAACCTTTGGCAAGTTGGGCCACGGCCAGCAGCAGCAGAACCAGCTGGAGCCGAAGAAGGTCGAGGCCTTCGCTGGCCAGCGCGTCATCGCTGTGTCGGCTGGAAACTTGCACAGTCTCGCGATCACCGCCGACGGCTCCGTCTGGAGCTGGGGCTGGGGAGCCTGTGGCAGGTTGGGCCACGGCGACCAGCAGGGCCAGCTGCTGCCAATGAAGATCGAGGCGTTGGCGGGGCAGCGCGTCCTCGCTGTGTCGGCTGGATTTGCGCACAGCCTCGCCCTCACCGCCGACGGAGCTGTCTGGAGCTGGGGCGCTGGAGGCGGTGGCAAGTTGGGCCACGGCGACGAGCAGAGCCAGCTGCTGCCGAAGAAGGTCGAGGCCTTGACGGCGCGGCGCGTCGTCGCTGTGTCGGCTGGAGTTATGCATAGCCTCGCGCCCACCGCTGATGGCGCTATCTGGAGCTGGGGCGATGGACAGGATGGCCAGCTGGGCCACGGCGACACGCAGAGACAGCAACTGCCCAAGAAGGTCGAGGACCAGCGTGCGTGACCGTAGACCGTCTGTCGCAGGCCGACGCAGAGTGAGACGACACGACACACGAATTACAAACCCTCGACATAACGAAACTTGATGCATTAACGTCGGCATGCGTGTCGCCCCTCGGTGTGATCTATGGGACGTCGGGCTGGAAACAGCAACCAGGTCTCCACCCGCACCGGGCACGGCGGGAGGCATTCGGCACAGCGTCTTCATCGACGGCGAGGGGCGGCTCTCGTCGTGCGGCTCAGCGGCAACGGAGGGCGAGGAGGAGGAGGAGGAGGAGGACGATGAGGCATTACCAGGCCTTCTCGGCCACGGCGAGGGCGTGACGCGGCTCAACACACCGACCCGCCTCCCGCTGGACGACACGCTGGCCAGGTCGGGGAGGCGTTGGTGGAGGCTAGGACAAAAGCGTCCGTCGCCCTTGAGCGAGTGATGAGTAATCGTGCCGTGGCCACGAAGGAAAAAATAAGCGCTGGGTGGCACACGCTGGGGACTGCGCCGAGACTGCGGCTTAAGTCAAGGTAAGGTAAGGTAAGGTAAACTTCTCCACACACACGAGGTGGTGGGGCAAGGGGGGGGCAACCCTCGCGTCTCCACGTCTAACGACAGGAGCCCCACGGCATTCAAAGTGCAAGGCCCGGTGCGCGTGGGTGAGCGGTGTGTGTGTGTGTGTGTGTGTGTGTGTGTGTGTGTGTGTGTGTGTGTGTGTGTGTGTGTGTGTGGTGTGTGTGTGTGTGTGTGTGTGTGTGGTGTGTGTGTGTGTGTGTGTGTGTGTGTGTGTGTGTGTGTGTGTGTGTGTGTGTGTGTGTGTGTGTGTGTGTGTGTGTGTGTGTGTGTGTGTGTGTGTGTGTGTGTGTGTGTGTGTGTGTGTGTGTGTGTGTGTGTGTGTGTGTGTGTGTGTCACGTCACTGCATCCTAAGTCAACTTTTTGCGAAGAATAAAGCCTAAATAAATAAAAACGGACACCTCTCTACTGTGAGATGGGTAAAAAGGAACAGGCCCCCGCCCTTGCGATCTTTGTGCAGGGTTCTTTGTCGCCTCGCTGCTTGGTGTTTCTGAACACGTAGACGACCACGCTGTGGGGGTTGTGTGCGGGTTGTGTCTGGGAGGGAGGGAGTCAGGGGTGCAGCGAGGTTGCTCACCCACGGCACCGGGCCGGTGCTTGCACTTTGAATGCCGTGGGGCTCCTGCCCGTGTCCCGGGCGTGGAGATGCGAGGGTCGCCCCCCCTTGCCCCACCACTTTGTATGTGTGGAGACGTTTACCTTACCTTACCTTACCTTGTGGGTGTGGTCGGCGACTAGCCGGGGTCGTCCTCCCGATGGGGGGCTAGCTCAAAAATCATTTTGGCTTAGCTATAACTTTCTAAAAATATCTCGGTCATATCTCGACTGTATCTCGGTGCGTTGAAGCACGAGATTTATCATATGAACTCGGGTGTTATAGCTCAGCCAAAATGATCCTCTCAAAAAGTTGACTTAGGAGGCCGCAGGTCCTAGCGCCTGATAACGTCGCCGGCGCTTATTTTTTGATTCTTTGTATTTATATATTGAAACCGGCGGCGAGGGGCGTGTCACGCCGTGTCCGGGCGAAGATACACCGAAGATACACTCGAAGATACACTCGAAGATACACCCGCAAATCATAGCCAACTCCAAGATCATATCCGTCACTCGCTCCCTTTTCAAACTCGGGGGTCGGGGCCCACTCCGCTATGGGCGAGAGTTTCAGGGGCGCTTCTCTCGACGGCGCGGAGCGGGGGCGCGTCGCCGACGGGTGCGGCGCAGCCTGTGCCACACCCGCTGTGCCCACCGCGATGCCTCCGGCTGGCTCGGTCTCGGTGTGGCGCCGAGCCACCCTCCCTGGTTGCCTGGGTGGCTGCCTTCATTAAATTACACGGCTTATGCGCTCGCTGCGCGAAAAACTCGCAAAAGCCAAAACAAGCAATTATATAAAACTAGTCTCGTCTCACACCAAGAGCTTCTGCGCGGGGTATGTGAGGGAAACATCAGGTGTGATAGCGCAAGCGATTCTCCCCTCGATCTCGCGGAGTCCAGTGGCGTAACGGCCATTTTCTTCGCAGAAAGGTCTCTTCATTGCGGGCTGCACGTGGGTGAAGGTGCTCACGCTGCGTGCCCTAGAGGAGAGTTAGACCCCTGCACTAGCAACGTTCGTGCAGTTGTCTCAAAGCTGGCCAAGCCCGTCTCTCACCCACGAAGCCCCGGCGTGCAGATGACTGCTCCACTCCCCGAACCCGAGCTTCAGACCGACCCGGAGACACAGGAGGCCGAGTTAGATCAGAGCTCTGCGGGAGCAATGCCGCTATTTTTGACCCCCAGCTTTGCGCAAGGGCCCATGCCTACGCTCCCGGCATTACTGCCCATGTTTGGCGCAATGAGCAGTGCAACAAGTGGACGTGCTCAAAGCCCCGAAAACATCGGGGAGTCCGTGCCTTCGTGGGAGGTCACAGGCGCACGTGGGAACGCGCCTGCGAAGAGGCAGCGCTCGAGCAGAGGCGCGGAGTAGGGTGCATGGCAAGGGCGTGGCGTCCTTTGGCCAGTGGGCCTTTTCCGCTCAGACTCTTCCAGCTGCCTAGGTCCAGCGGCAGCACTGCCGCGGCTGCTAGTGCCCCTGTGCAAGGGGGATGCACGAGCCCGGCGTTCGCTGCGCGGATACAACGGGACGCACCGCTGATGATGTGCTATCTAGAGGTAGGACAGAGTGATTGTGTGTGGCGCTTTGGCGTGTGCCGTTCTTCGCTCATCGCTGCTCCGTGTGACTGTGACGTGTGAGCCGTCTTCAGGTCCAGCTCCCTTGTGAGTTGCCTTGTGTGTGAGTTCTTTTGCCATGACCGCGCGCGTCACATATACATACATTCGAACCGCGGCACGGGCGCGGGAGGTCGACGTGCGCGCGTGCGTGCCTGAGAGCCCCTGTGCGCTGTGGCCGCGGTGGCCGGTGCGCGGATCGCGATTGTGGATTGATGCGTCTACTGGGGAAGGGCCGTGCGCAACTGTGGCAACAGGGACGTGCAGCGGTTGCGCGCGGGCGATCGTGGCGATGGTTGACTGTGCATGCCGCCCAAGTTTTGCTCCCCAAGACGCAGGAGGGGCCCTTTACATTCATACCGTATCCGAGCGGCATGGGAATCATCTACTCGAGTGATGTGGCCGAGCATGTCGCGAGGCTGATGGGCGGCCCGCTGTCGCTTCGCACAATCTGGCCGCACATGACGCAATGTCGGCCGTGTGGTTGGCGGGCGTCGATGTTGAGTTGCGCGATGACTATCGCTTCCACGACCGGGTTGGCACAGGGGCACTGTGCAGGGCAACTGCACCGACGAGAGTCTTATGATCCATCCATACATCCATTACATGAAACATGACACTGAGGGGCTTCCGTCGATGCATGCGGCTGTCTTGCGTGTGGAACTGGCGTCTGCCCACGGAGCACGGTGCCGGGTGGGCGGCATCGATTAAAAAGTGCTTTCGTTAAGTACCGTAGGTACCGGGACACAGTCACACAGACCGCGGGCATGCCGGAGGGGGAAGCTGCGTGCGCCGGGGAGGGGATCGGATAAGGGCTGTAGCGTGTAGGCAGTAGCACATATCACGCGCATATAATACCCAGTATATCACTCATGCACAAGCACATGCACGCGTGGATGTATCAGTTGCATTTCAACTGGTTGGTAGGAGACGCTTGCTTGCCGGAAGAGTGGTTTGAGCTGCGACCTCTGAATGAATGAATATGCTGTGTGTATGTATGTAGGAAGGTGAAGAACAGCCAGGCTCGGACTGGGCACCAACGCGGTATGGGTGGACGCTGGACAGATGATGGCGGCACGCACGAGCGAATATTTGCGGGAGCGCTTTCTTCCGCCTGTGCAAGTCGAACTCGTCCGCTGTCTAGCCACTTCACAGCCTTGTTATTGAGAAGAAAATACCTCCTATGGCGCTGTGCGCTGGCCTGTGAGTTCACAGCTGCTTTTGTGGTAGGAGCAGCAGCTACAGTCGCTGAAACTGTGCGCTCCGCCTCACCTCAGCGGACCCAGGCAGACGACAGAAGGCAACCCTATCCCCGACGATCACCGCCAGTCATGGTGCGACAAATTTCCTTCCGACACTTCTCGGACCAGCTCTACTGCTCGGGCGCGCAGCAGCAGTGGTGCGTCCTGCCTGGCGACGCCGCTCGCGGCGCGAGCGGGTCCCACCCAGGCGAGTGCCTATGGCACAAGCCAGACTCGACGGCGGTGCTCCACGAGGACATGCTTGCGTCAAGCAGGCCTCGCTGGACCCGCGACCGGTGGGACCCCGCCGCGGCGGGAGTGAACGTCGACCTGCGCCGCTTCGACCCTGCGGACGCCGCGGCGTGCCTCCGCGGCAAGCACGTTATGATCCTGGGCGAAAGCACGACCAGAGACCTGTACGGCGCGTTTGCCGACGTTGCGGGCCTGCGCGCCAACATTCGCGGCTGCATGAACTCGGGCGGACGCGCCAAGCCCATCTGCCACCGAACAGTCGCCTCCGCCGACAACGAGACGCGCGTCTCCTTCCAGTTCCTCTCGAGCAGCAACGCGAGCCGCGAGATGGAGGTGACGCGGTCTCTGGTCGGCTACGGCGCGCCGGCGGCAGTGTTTGCGTACTGCATGGCCTACGACTGGCTCAACACCGTGCCACCCTCCGACCAGCCAGAGGCGCGGGCGCCGCCATCCGACGCGATGGGGGCGGCGTGCCTGCAAAACATCGACGCGAACATCCTCTCGGCGGCGCCCGGTACGCCGCTCTTCCTCCTGGGCCCAACCTACCCGCCCGGCTGGGTGGAGCCATACGAGAACCGGACGCGGCCGGGTTCGAGAATGGGCCGCCTCTTCCAGGCCATCGAGCGGCCCTTCGGCATCTCGTGCGAACGCAAGCCGGACGGCGACTTCAAGGTCGTGTCGGCGCGCGGCGTGAGAGGGCCCATCGACAGGTATAACGTCGTCGGGCATCGCAAGCGCGACATGATCCACCCGTACGACAATGCGCACACGCCAACCGTGCAGATGATGCTCAACCATATGTGTTGACGGTGCATGGGGGCAGCCGCTGATGTGTGGAGTTGTTCAGGTGTGTGTGTGTGTGTGTGTGTGTGTGTGTGTGTGTGTGTGTGTGTGTGTGTGTGTGTGTGTGTGTGTGTGTGTGTGTGTGTGTGTGTGTGTGTGTGTGTGTGTGTGTGTGTGTGTGTGTTACCCACTCCCACAGCACAGAATTGTTAAAATTCACAACTCACGGAAACGGGGCGGCCGACTGCGACTCACGGCTCACGCTCACGATCTCAGCATTTCAGCATTAGCCATATTGACTTGGGCCCTCGGGGAGGCGCCACTGACACACGACAGCCACACACACGGCGACCCCAAGTCGGGAAAGGATAGCACTGCGAGGCCGGGACCAACGCACGCCCTCTGACTGCCACCCGGAACACCGTCATTGCGTCAGGGCCATCGCACAGTGACGATTGTTGCCATCGGCCACGCGCTCAACGTCCTCGCCCTCCTAAAATCGCCTGGCGGCTTGTCGTTGGTCAAGCGCAAAGTCAAAAGGCTGGTCTGGATGGGGGGCACCTACTGGGACCCGCACGTCGAGTGGAACTGGGGCGCGTGCGGTGGCCCATCGAACGAAAACGCCACCAAGTGCGGCGCGTACAGCAAGCTCTCGCAGCTCACCTCGGACGCTCTCAGCCGCTGGCCGGTGGAGGTGCCTACCGTGTTCGTGAGCTTCGACATCGGCTTCTGGGTGCGGGTCGGCGGCGTGCTCAAGACCGGAGCTCCCGTAAACAGCCCTTGCCGACAGGCCTTTGTCGACTTTTGCGGCGTCACTGGTGGTAGCGGCGGGATGCCAGACTGGTGCAACGCGCGCGGTCGCAACGCGTGGGATCTCATCGCTGTCTTGATCGCCGTCCGTGGCACAGGCCCACCCGGCTACCACCGGCTGATGCCCGGAGGCAACGCCTTTGACGCGGCCACTGGGCTGAACACGTGGAGAGACGAGCCGCACAAGGCGCAGTGGGGGCACTTCCAGCTATGGTCTCCAGAGGACTCGTACAACAAGACCGCCGACGAGATAGACAGGCTGCTGCTGCAGACGCCTGCCAACAAGTTCCCGCCCTCACCGCCGCAGCCCCCCTCTCCGCCGCCGCCACACAATCCTCCGCCGTCGCCACCACCGCCGCCACCGCCGCCACCCCCACCCAACTACCCGCCCCTTTTCACCTATGCGAGGAGGGGCGGAGGGGCGGAGGCCGCAGCTGCGGCTGAGTCCGCCAGCGCCACCCGCGGCATAAATGGCGTGCAACACAGCCGTTCAGTTGGCGCCGCCGCCCCCGCCCTCGTCGGGGCGGCCAGTGGAGTGGGCCTGGGCGTCTTGGCCATTCTCCTCATCCGCCGGTTCTGCACGATTTATCGCAAGGGCCACGCGGAGGAGGGGCAGGAGGAGCGATCGCCGCCGCAACGATTGAGCTCCAAGACGGGGGGCGAGAGATTTGTGCGCAAGATGAGCACGAGCACAAAGGCCCGTGCAGATTTGCGCGCACGCGAGAGTGGGGGGCTGCTCGCTCCCAACGTCCGGCGATCCGATGCCGATGAGGGTGTCGAAGTGTGTAGCTGAGCGTCGTACATCTCCCCACACATGCAGTGAGTCATGCACACAGTGGTCAGTGCACACATGCATGCCGCCGTCAAGTCGGCGCCAGTCTGCGGCGACCACAGCCTGTGCCACAGCGCTCACCGCAGGGAGATATATGCGAGCGCTTTTCACATTTTCAGAGTCGCAAGCGATTGCGCGAAATCCCACCCCGGTGGATTTTGGGGCGCGCTGCGCACCCCCTAATTGAGTCAGTCAGCAGCGGCGGCCCAGCGCGCAGCCGGCAGCGCAGCTCGCGCGAAACCCACAACTCAGCAGACACAAGTATACGCGCTCACTCACTCTATACACGAATCACGCGGCCCCGGCAACCAGATGGACACATTGTCTCGCAGATTTACACGCAATCGCCACGGCCACCCCAAGTGCAGAGAGAGAGACGGATCCCGGCTGTGTGCCCACACAGCTCACAGGTCGCCCCGCGGCGCCCAGAGCGGCACAGCCGGGCTGCGCAACTCTTCACCGCTCGACAGAGCGCTAGAGTTGCACAGCTCGCGCCCGTCCTCGCGCCCCCCTCCGCGCTCTGCCCGCCCCCCTCCAGCATGGTGCGCGGGAGGGAAGGGGGGGGGGGGGAGGGGGGCAGCCCGGCCACAGAAGTGGAGGGGGAGCGCCCCCCCAGCCATTCCCCGCGGGAGAGTTTCCCCCCCCCCCACCCCGGCCCCCCCCCCCCCCCCACGCGGCTAGCGCGGCTCCTCGCCACTGAAGAGCTCGCGGATGGCCATCAGGGTGAGGTCCTCGAGGCTGGAGATGCGCAGGTCGGCGTGCATCATCTCATAGGCCGGGTGCTTGCCCACGAGCGCCACCGCCTTCGCCAGCGCCTCCTTTGCGCTGCTCACGCCCTGCGGCGAGTCCTCAAACACGACGCACCGCGCGGGCGGCCGCCGCAGCTTGACGCAGGAAGCGAGGTATGCCTGCTCGGCCGTCTCGGCGCCATCCTCGGCGCAGATGGAGGCCTGGAAGAAGCGGGCCATGTCCGCCGCCTCCACCTTGTCCGACAGCGAGCGCTCGTCCAGCTCCGAGCAGAGGCAGCAGGGCACCTGGTACTCGTTGAGCAGCGTCAGCAGCCGCACGGCGCCCGGACGCGGCTCGAAGGCGTAGCTCGAGAAGCGGCGGCCAAGCGCCTCGCAAAACTCGTACGAGAGTGCCTGGGCGACGCCCCAGTCGTCGAGATATGGGGAGACAGGGGGAGATAGGGGGAGATATGGGAGAGTGCCTGGGCGACGCCCCAGTCGTCGAGCGCAGGCTGCCAGCGGAAGACCTGCGTCACGGCGATCTCTGTCAGTGATTCCTTACGAGTTCGGTGCCTGTGAGTGATTCATTCTTCAGTAGGGACGGCCTGCGTCACCGCAATCTCTGGGAAATCTGGGGAGATCTGGGAGATCTGGGGAGATCTGGGGAGATATGGGGAAGACCTGCGTCACCGCGATCTCTGGCCGCCGGCCGACAGTGCGGTCGCTGTCCTCTGCGTCGAAGGGGAGGCCATGCGCCTCGGCCACCTTCGGGGGCGGGTGAGGGGGCGGGTGAGGGGCGGGTGAGGGGGCGGGTGAGGGGGCGGGTGAGGGGGCGGGTGAGGGGGCGGGTGAGGGGCGGGTGAGGGGGCGGGTGAGGGGGCGGGTGAGGGGGCGGGTGAGGGGGCGGGTGAGGGGCGGGTGCGGAGCAGGGAGAGGGAGAGGGGGGGGGGGGGAGGGGGAAGGTGAGGGGGAGGGGGAGGGGGAGGGAGACGGTGACGGTGACGGTGAGAGTGAGGGGAAGGGTGGGGCGGGAGGGTGGAGCGCGGGGTGGAGGGTGAGGCGAGGCAGGCAAGGGAGGAGGGGCGGAGGGGAGGAAGGGAGAGGAGGCGGCGGCGGCGGTGGCGGTGAGGAGGGGAAGAGGTGGCGGTAGACGGAGAAGGAGAGGCGGCAGAAGCAGCGGCCGCCGCACACCTCCGCCCAGGCGGCGGCGTGCAGGCCGCGCAGGCCCGCAAAGACGGTGTCCCAGCGGAAGAGGGCGCCGTACGCCTCCATCGGGCTGACGACGAAGCGGAGCCGCTGCACGCTGTCCGGCTGCAGCAGCTCATTCAGGTCGGAGCCCCTCAGCTGCGCCGGCGGCAGCCGCGCGAGGGAGCCCCAGTCCGCATACTCGCCGGCAAGAGGAGAGGCGAGCGCTGAGCCGTACTCGCCCTCGCGCGGCGCGGGAGGGAGGTCGAACTCGGAGAGGTCGTCGCCGCCGCCGCCCGACGGCAGGAAGACGACGCGCGGTATTCCCAGCCGCGAGGGCGCCGCGAGCGAACCCACCGCATCCCCAGCGACTGGCTGCGCGCTCGCCGAGGCGGCGCCCGGAGGAGGGCCCTGCCTGCTGCGGTCGAGGCCGCGCGTCGCGAGCAACCCCGTCCCGGTGCCGGGGCTCAGCAGCAGCAGCATGCAGAGAGAGAGCCGCCACCAATGGTGAGGCCTGGCCAACCAGCAGCGGCGCGAGTTCTGCGCAATTGCCGGTGTTTCTTTGTCTAAATTCTTTGACAGGAAATAAGAGGGCTCCCGCGGCGATCAACACCGCAACTCCTTTTCTAAATTTCACCACTCTTCTTACGCGCGACGACGCTACAGCCTACCAAACCTCCACACACTTCTACTCACCCTCGGACACACTTGCACCGTCGTCCTGCGCGCCTGATGCGTCGCGCATCTGCTCGTCACCCTCTCCATGACGACGTTCGTCGAGGCGTGGAAGCGCGTCTCCAGGTCGATGGCCGCCTGCTCGGCCGCGGCGAGCTTGCCCTGGTCGACGCACATGCCGCACACCGCGTGCGCCGGGCAGCCGCACTGGCCGCGTTGTGGGCGCACGGTCTTGGCGACCGCCGGCGCTGCGCGCCGGTCGTGCTGCTCACGCTGCCGGCGGCGCTGGTCGCGCGCCTGCCGATCGCGCGTGTTCGCGGCGGCTGCATCTCCTGCTCGTTTCGCTCGCACCCGAGCGGCGGTCGCCAGGCGCTTCAGGTCGGCGGTGCTGCGCGCGCGGCCGTCGGCTCTGCACAGCCACATGTCCTCCTCCTCGGCAGGCTCGCACGGCTTGCCGTCGAACTGCGGCGGGAACCCGCGACGACGCTTCGCCCAGGCCGGGCACGATGGTGCCGCGACGAGCGGCGTCGAGGCGACGGCCATCGATGGGTCCAGAAGACTTGGAGACTTCTAAACCAAAAAATCAAAAAAGCGAGCACAAGTGCGTTACATGGGCATGGCCGGCGTTTCTGCACCGAACGATCTTACTTTCGGTCTATCGAAAGTGTTGATCGATAAGAAAGGACTGGACTAACCGCGAATGGCAGTTATCCGTTGTGCGGACGTCGTCGCGGCTCGCCTCTGCCGCGGCGGCTGCTGCGCGCACGCGGCGGCGCCGCTCTCTCGCGAGACGGCTGGCGACGCGGCTCGCCGCCGACGTACGCTGCGCTCGTCCGACGGTCCGCAGCGTGGCGTGCGCGGCGCTGCGTGCCGCTCTGCGAGCGCTTCTGCGCCTGCACTGCCTCTCTCTGTTGCTGCTGGTGGTGGTGATGGTGCTGCTGCTGGTGGAGATGCTGCTGCTGGCGCGGCGCGGCTCTGCGACTGGGCTCGACGAGCGCGTCGCGAGCATCTGACGCGGCGGGCGGCGTCGGGCAGGTGCGCTTCTCTCTCTGGTGGTGGTGGTGGTGCTGCTGCTGCTGGTGGTGGTGCAGATGCTGCTGCTGGTGCGGCGCGGCTCTCCGACGCGACTCGATGCGCGCGTCGTGGCAATCTGACGCGGCGGGCGGCGTCGCGGGCGGCAGCGGTGGGGGCTCGCGGGTGGAGGTGGAGGCTGGAGGCTGTGGTGGACCTTTGAGTTTATTTCATGGTGGACTACGAGGACTAGTGATGCTGCTCCTGATGCCCCCCCCCCCGCCCCCCTTCTCTCTCTCTCTCTCTCTCTCTCTCTCTCTCTCTCTCTCTGTCTCTCTCTCCCTCCCTCCCTCGCTCTCTCTCTCTCTCTCTCTCTCTCTCTCTCTCTCTCTCTCTCTCTCTCTCTCTCTCTCTCTGCTCTCTCTCTCTCTCGGCTCTCTCGGCTCTCTCTCTCTCTCTCTCTCTCTCTCTCTCTCTCTCTCTCTCTCTCTCTCTCTCTCTCTCTCTCTCTCTCTCTCTCTCTCGGCTCTCTCTCTCTCTCTCTCTCTCTCTCTCTCTCTCTCTCGGGTCTCTCTCTCTCTCTCTCCCTCTCCCTCTCTCTCTCTCTCTCTCTCTCTCTCCCCCCCCCCCCAAGCCGACTCAGGGTGTGTGGCAGCCCGCTGGCTGTGTGTCTTGTGAGCTTGTTTGTGTCTGTGTGTCGCTCGTGTGTGCCGTCATAGATCGTCATCATCTGTCCAGCGTCCACCCATACCGCGTTGGTGTCCAGTCCGAGCCTGGCTGTTCTTCACCTTTTTTACCTACCTACCTACCTAGAAAGGAGCCTTCGAAAAACGGCGGGCACATGGCGCGCGTAGCTATGATAGGGACCGCGGCCGCGGAGCCGGCGGCGGACGGGGCTGGCGCGCAAGCGCCGGCCACCGTCGTGCCGCCGGGAACGCGCCGCGGACCACCCTGGAATAGCAGCCATCGCGCGCACATGCAAGACTGCCTCATTGCCGCAAGGCTCGCAGGTGTGTCGCAGCTCAGGTATGAGGTCCCTGGCTACGGGACGGCGACCTTCGAGCTGAAGTCCGAGAAGGCCGCGGGTGACCGCGAGCCTGTGCAGGCGGCGGAGCGCTCGTTCATCGAGCGCACCGCGTCGCGGAAGGAGAAGCCGACGGAGGAGCAGAAGCAAGCTCGGGCCGCGGCTCGCAGGGCCAAAAAGGCCCGGCAGAAGGCGAACAGGGCGGAGAAGGCTGCGGCGGCGGCTGCGAGCGAGGCCGAGCGTGCGGACTACCCGCACGCGCAGCTACGCGAGAACGTCGAGTTCGTGATGGACGGCCTAGAGGCTGCGGCGCAGGCGGCGCGCAACCCCAGCGGGTCCAATATTCAGGTCGCCTACTCGCTGCCTCCCGAGGGGGGCAGCGGGTTCGGCGACCTGGTGTACGCCACGGTCCCTCTGGGCTCCGTGGCGACGAAGGTCGCCCGGGACTGGCTCGCCAACGAGCTCTACGAGCCGTCCCGGCGCGGCAAAATCGATGCGGCCTGCAGGGACCGAAAGGTCGCCGACCTGATCACGGCTGCCGGCGCCTCGGCGCCGGCCGACGCCGTGTTCGGCGGCAGGTTTGCGACGGGCGAGACGCCCCGCTCGACGACCTCCGCCTCCGAGGCGGACGAGGGCGACGGCGCCGGCGGCGATGGCGGGACCAGCTTCGACCTGTTCGGGCCGGACCCCACCCCCATGGAGGACCTTTGAGGCCCTCCCCAGTCTCACCCCACCTTACCTCTGCCCCCCCCTCCCCCCATCCCTCTGCCTCCCATAGGGCAGGATAGCACTAGCATATGCGCCTAGTGCGCACACTGGGCCCACATAGATGTGACCCGCCCACTCGAGTGCGGCGCCCAGATGCTAGTGCTTGAGAGGACACCACAAACGCGGCACGGCCCGTTTTGGATGTCTGCGGAGATTCTGTCTTAGCACACACAGTGAGTCATTCGGAGTCATTCGATGGCCAGAGTGCGATTGTGTGTGTGCGGGAGTTGGTTTGTCGGGAGGGAGGGGCAGGCTGCTCACCCACGTGCACCGGGCCAGTGCTTGCACTTTGAATGCCGTGGGGCTCCTGCCCGTGTCCGGGTGTGGAGATGCGAGGGTCGCCCCCCCTTGCCCCACCACTTTGTGTGTGTGGAGAAATTTACCTTACCTTACCTTACCTTCGAAAAGGGCATGGCTCCTGCCGCAACTTTCTCGCTAACACGCGCGCACCACCGGGACTGCGGTGGGCACGCGCTAACAACCGGGACTAACAAGCGGGACTTGTTTCTAGCAGGGGACGAAGCTCTGAGCCCAGCGACGCGTGTCGGAGGAGTCCGGTCCGCCCGCGCGCGGGTGCAGTAAAGTCAACGCAGTAAAGTCAGATTGACGGCGACGGATGCACCTCCAGCGGCTCGAGCCGTCCCTCTGCCGCTTCTCCGCTCTGCTGGCAGCTCGCGAGCCTCCACATGGCCTCTGGCTGGAACAGGCCGCCGTACCGGCCGCCAAACGGGTTGGAGCCGATCCAACGGTGGAGACCGTAGTAGGCGAGCGCCTGGGATCCGAGACACGGTGAAGAGGGGGGAGAGAGAACGGCGCTGTTTGTTTGGGCTGGCAGGAGCGGACGGCAGAAAAGTGCGAGGCGCCTCGAGCGGGTTGGCCGGAAACAGGTTCAGGAAGGGAATCGCGATCATGTAGCACACGAGTGCACTCTCGAGAGCGTTGCACGCGCGGACGATGCCGTCGCGCCGCTCACGCTCGAGGCCAATCCGGTACTCATCCGACATCTGGCAGCAGCCACGCCGCTTGATGTCCGCCTGGTGCTGCGGCAGGCGGGTCAGCTGCTGCACCAGCGTGTCGTAGTAGCCTCCGGCGCGGTTGTGGGAGAGGCGGCGGTACAGCGGCATGAAGACGGGCACCGGCAGCAGGAGAAAGAGGAGCGAGCCGGCGACCGGGACCAGCCGCACCAGGGAGAGGAAAAAGTAGAGGCCCGAGCCGACACAGGCCTGATAGTGGTGCAGCGCGCTCGACGAGGCGGCCACTGCCTCCAGTGGCCGGCTGAGGCTGCCACACCACGTCGGAGGCACTTTCGCGTCGCCCCAAGCGAGTAATGAGGCGCAGTGGCCGCAGCCGTCCTCCTCTGCTTGCGGCGCTGGCAGCAGCTTTGCTCGCTGGCCAGCTAGATACGCAGGCGATGGCGGCGGCACACTTGGACGGGCCATGTAGGTTCTCGAGGTGGCAAAGATCAGCCGCGCGCGCCAGCCAGAGAGCGTTCAAGAGGTTCCGCCGCTCCCCCCCACAAGGCGCGAGACACACGTTCACAGCACGTTCTAAGGGGCTTCTTTGAGCGGGCGGTGGTCAAAGAACCCATCGTGCAGGTTCTCGAGGTGGATATCCTTTGGCCGCGTTGGGCAGGTGTGAACAACACCTCGTGACCACGGCTCCGCAGGCGCCTATTGATGGGTCCAGGTGATAGCCCTGGGTGGGCAATCCATACGCCTAGTTGGACCTCAGATCGCCCGAAGGTAAGGTAAATTTCTCCACACACACAAAGTGGTGGGGCAAGGGGGGGCGACCCTCGCATCTCCACGCCCGGACACGGGCAGGAGCCCCACGGCATTCAAAGTGCAAGCACTGGCCCGGTGCACGTGGGTGAGCAGCCTGCCCCTCCCTCCCGACAAACCAACTCCCGCACACACACAATCGCAGGGCCGTGCCGCGTTTGTGGTGTCTTCTCAAGCACTAGCATCTGGGCGCCGCACTCGAGTGGGCGGGTCACATCTATGTGGGCCCAGTGTGCGCACTCGGCGCATATGCTAGTGCTATCCTGCCCTATGGGAGGCAGAGGGATGGGGGGAGGGGGGGGGGGGCAGAGGTAAGGTGGGGTGAGACTGGGGAGGACCTCAGAGAGAGTCGGCCGCGTTTTCTCTTGCGATCAATTTCAATATCAATATATATTGCAACAGTTAGAGGAGAGGCTGGGCCTGGGCTGGTCAGGACCGTCAGGTTGGACTCAACATATTGATGAAAGTCTGTGGCTCTAAATCCGTTTTCAAAACGGCGTACGGGTCCACATCGCTTAAATCGCGCATTATAAAATCGCTTTGAACGCTCGCAATTTTTCGACTTCACGTTCAGCCCACATCTAGGCGATGTTTGGGACAAATGTCGACATTTGGTGCTCATGGAGGTTAAAATCAGCGATCAATATGTCAATATATTGTCAATAGTTAGAGGGGATGCTGTCAATAATCAATATCAATAGTTACAGGGTGGGAATCAATATTTCCTTAGCCGCCCTTACAGAAATTTCTATCACACTTCGAGCGTCCAGCGAGCCAGTGTCGTACCTTTCTGCTGCTGCTTCTCGTCCTGGCGCATGAGTTCCTCCCGCGCAGCGACGAGTAGTCGCTCTTTCGACCCGTTGGACCTCTTGAGGAGGCTCTCCGAATGACGACACATTGCTTGCACCGGGCGCATTTGCTCGAAGTCTCCCAACCACCCCGCGCGTGCTGCACGACGGCACGGCTCCGCGAAGCCCGCCTCGTATGTCTGCCGAACACTACACGGGCGCCTCGCAAAGGGCCAGACGCTTCGCAGCACATGGACGGAGTCGAGCGTGTCGAGGTGCAGCAGCTCGTAATCGCGCAAAACAGCATGTTGGTATGCCAGGGAGCAGCCCCACGGCTTGCCCAAGCGCGAGCCGGCAGCCACGCGCGCGTCAAAGTGAGCGCTGAATCTGAGCTTAGGCGGGAACTTCACGTTGGCCTCGAGAACGATAACTCGAGGCTGCGTGCCCGCTGCAAGCGTTGCGGCAAGTAGGTCGCAGTCGAATGAGTCGATATCGATCTTGAGCACTGATAGCGGCACCCCGACGAGACCCGCGCGCTGCAACTGACTGCGGACGGACCCCGGCGTGGCGTACTCATTAAGCGCCACCACCTTGCTCGCCGGCAGTGCTCGCGCCGCCTTGTGCAGCCGGTTGGCATCAGGATCAACGAGCAGCGCGCGTGCATCGCCCGCGCCCAGCAGCAATTTGTTGACAGGGTCGAGGGTCGCAACATTCCGAGTTGAGGTCAGGTACTCGCCCGCTCCAAAGTTGGCGAGCCGGATGCCAGATCGGCAGCCTGCGTTTGCTTGGTTGCACACGTCTTTCACCAATCGTTCGATGGACAGGAGGTTTGTTGACTGCAAGAAGGTGTTGCGACGTGTGGGCTCCGGAGGTCGGACCCACAGCCCTGTGCTGTTGCAAGACGCTTGCAGCGCCTCACGTCGACTCATCTCGCCCACGCGTAGAAGTCGCCGAAGAAATGACGGAGCAAAAAACAAGCGGCCAGATTTGGGGCGCTCGGCGCTCGACTTCTGAAGTTCGGTGTCGGGAAAACAAAAGCCTAGTTCAAGTGCCTAAACACCCCGCCGACTTCACGCTACGCCCATACCCCACTTCGACTTTCGCCCTCCGTGCCTCTGACGACGACCGACGCCTCTCTCTTGACTACATTGACGTACGTGCGCCTGATCAAGCGCTCCGTCCGTGCTGAGCCGTGAATCGAGCCAGAGAGGTTGAACTTGCGCTGATGTGCACCCCCAACAAAAAACTTGAAGCGCCCCCCGTATCCCATCGTATCCCCCATGGGACGTTGTAGTCCGTTGTACAACGTGTTGTACTTGAGTACAGTACACAAGAGTTGAAGAAAACAACTAGCGCTAGCTGTAGTGAGCGTCGGGCTGGTGGTTCGACACCGAGTTGTGTATCGCGCGCCTTGCGGGGGGGGGGGGGGGGGGGCGCGGAAAAGGCAACCTCTTCGCGCCATCGCCATGGTGCTGCAAGCAGCGCCGGGCGACGACGACTTACCGCCTCCCGGTCCCCCTCGGCACACCTCCGCTGCTTAATGTTTGACGACTCGAACCCATCGGAGGGTGACTAGCCACGCCTCTGGCAGGCTTTCAATTAGTCGGCTGTATTCGCCTTGGTCGCAGGGCGGGGTTGGGTGGCAGCTTCTCCTAAACTCGCGCCAGGCCATTGGCAGGCCGTCCCCGCCGAGGAGGTGTACTACGTGAGTTACCCCGACCTCTGCGAATCGCACCGATCGCTCGTAGACCTCCCGCGCGTTCTTCGCAGCAAAACCGCCCCCAGGATTTTGGTCTTCGGTTTCGTCGCCAAGCATAGGTTTCATTTTCATAGTCGGCCGTCCTAGGACGTACGCCATTTCGGTGTATCTCCGCGCCCGAGACAAGTGTATCTCCGCGCAATGGGTAGCGCGCTCGCTCGCAGAGCGGCGCCTGCTAGCCGAGCGCGAATGCCTGGGTCGCTGAGCTCGCGCCGGTGGCCAACTGCGCCTCCGTGGCGACGCGCTCCGGCCACGAGCGACGTGCCAATCTTCACTTTGAGCTCGCTTGGCAGCCGCCGAGTGCGAGAGGAATTTAAACGGCCGAGCTGACCAGGCAGCCAGCCGACTTCCCGTACCGGCCGCACATGCTCCGCCTCGACGGCCGCCTCGCGCTCGCTCGAGGTCTGCTCCGCCCGAGCAGCGAGCTCTCAGGTGCGGGCTCTCGGGGCGCCGACCACTGGTAGGGAGGAAGGTCGAGCGCGACGCCGCGGAGCCAGGGCCGGGGCTGGGACCGTGAGCGGCGATCGCGCTCCGAGTCGCCCAGCGACGGCAAGGCAGGACGACGAGGCGCGACGGCCGTTGAGCGGAGGGCTGGCGAGCAAAAAGAGGCGCCTCCGTGCGCAAACTTCAGAGGGGCTCTTATGAGTTATGCTCTGCAACGAAACCAATTCGTATCGAGAGTTTTCACGATCAGTTCCGGTATACCCCCGAGACCAAAAACCTGGGGCCAGTTTTGCTGCGCCTCTCTTTCATTGGTCCACCGGCAGAGTTTGGGTTTCGGTTTCTTGTCTCTAGCCAGTCGCTCCCAGTCTGGGCTGTCGAGTACTGCTGCGCCCCACCAGCCCGACAGGTGTGGGTTGTAGATATAGCGGCTCCATTAACACGCCCGAGCGACCAAAGCCCCCCCACTCGCACTGTCCTTGGTACGCCCGCCCTCGCCTGTCGGTACGTGACTTCAGGCGTGTGGTCTTTCTGTGCGGCGTCCTCACCATCGTACGGTACCAGCCCTCTCAGAGTGCCATGCGCCTTGAGTGCGATGCGCCAGAGGAGGCGGGCATCGTCTCGGGGAGATTGAGAAAATCGCATGAGGAGTGGAAGAGCCGTCGCCCCATGCGGAGGTGCCCGTATGCTCGATTGACGTAGGACGCCACTATATTCACGCCTTTGTGTGACGATGGCGTGACCAGGCGGCCTGTTCACAGCTAGAGGTGTGAAGAGACGCTGTTCACAGCCGCTCCTCTTGATGGTGACGGTGTCTCGGTGTGGCCGTCGAGGTGCGTGAAGGAGGTCTCAAACCCGAGCAGCGCCTACTCTCGGGCACTCTCGGGTCCTCTCGGGCCCTCTCGGGTCCTCTCGAGGTCTCGCGCACACATGCTACTGTAGGATGCGGTCGTCGACTCCACTCGCCGCCTGGCTCGCGCCTCTATCAAAGCGAGTACTTCGGGAGCACCACAACGCGGCGCTGTGCCACGGCAGGAGAGGCTGCAACCGCCGGCCCCGCAACCGCCGCGGATGCGTCGCTGTGGGCCCGGGCCCACTCTCCGGCCCACGCCGTGTAACCGGCACCGGCGTCCGCATTGGCACCGGCGCTGGCGCCGCCGGCACTGGCGCCACCTGCGCTGGTCCCGGTTGGCACCACCACACCGACCAAAGCTGCACCGGGGGCAGCGAGGGCCGCGGCGGCGACGGCGGACTCGGGCGGCTCGGGCGGCTCGGCGGAAGGGAGGCCGACGGCGGGGGGCGTGCGGAGGCGCGCGATCCACCGCCCCGCCGCGAGTGCGGTCCGCAGCCGCAGCAGCGCCGCACGGTAGCGCAGGCGGCCGAGCGCCTTCTTTGCGCTCTCGCGCGCCCACCACACCGCCCAGCCGGCATCCTCGCAGGCCGCGCGGGCGGCGGTGCGGCCGTGGGCGAGGCAGAGGCGGAGGCTGTGGAGGAAGGGGAGGCCGCGGTAGGAAGACGAGCCGTGCCGAAGCGCAGTCTCAAGGGCGTCCCTCTCGGCCACGCCACCCGGGAGCTCGCGAGCCTCGCCGCCGCCGACTCCAAGGCGCGCATACGCTCGCTCTCGCGCGCAGTGCCACGGCGAGCCGCTCGGCCATCGGCGGACGCGCAGAGGAGTGGTGACCGACGGTCTCCACCGCGAGAGCTGTCGTGTCAGCCAATGAGACTGGCATCGAAATGCCTCGCGGCCTTTTTGGAGCAGCTCGATCCACGAGGTGGTCTCCTCGGCAATATAGAGGGAGACGCGAGTCCAAAAATGGCACCACTCAGCCCAACTCGCTCACATGCTCACCGCACCGCCCCCGCGCGGGCTGGCGTCAACAAGCTCCTGTGGTGCATCTACGCCGCTAAACGCCCGGCCGGCCGTACAGAGTGACTCCCCGATACCTCACTACCCCAGCGCCCACGCCTCGATCTTCTTGGGCAGCAGCTTGTTCGACAAGTCCTCTCCGTGGCCTAGGCACTGGCCCCACGCGAAGAGGGCTCCGTCGGCGGTGCGGGCCAGGCTGTGGTAGACTGCAGCCGACACAACGACGACGCGCTGCCCCGTGAAGGCCTCGACCTTCTTGGGCAGCAGCTGGCCCTGCCAGCCGCCGTGGCCCAGCTGGCCAAAACCTCCATAGCCCCAGCTCCAGACGGCGCCGTCGGCGGTGAGGGCGAAGCTGTGACTGCCTCCAGCCGACACAGCAACGACGCGGTGCCCCCCCAACGCCTCGACCTTCTTCGGCAGCAGCTTGTTTTGCGTGTCGCTGTGGCCCAACCGGCCTGCCCCTCCATAGCCCCAGCTCCAGACGCTGCCGTCGGCGGTGAGGGCGATGCTGTGGAATACTCCAGCCGACACAGCGACGACGCGCTGGTTAGCCAAGGCCTCAATCTTCTTGGGCAGCAGCTGGCGCTGCTGGTCGGCGTGGCCCAGGCGGCCTTGCCCTCCACTGCCCCAGCTCCAGATGCTGCCGTCGGCGGTGATGGCGAGGCTGTGACCATCTCCAGCCGAGACAGCGACGACGCGCTGGCCAGCAAAGGTCTCGAGCTTCTTGGGCAGCAGCTGGTCCTGCTTGTCGCCGTGGCCCAGCTGGCCAAAGCCTCCACCGCCCCAGCTCCACACGGCGCCGTCGGCGGTGGTGGCGAGGCTGTGGCTGCCTCCAACCGACGCGGCGACGACGCGCTGCCCAGCAAAAGCCTCGAGCTTCTTTGGCTGCCACTGGTCCTGCTGGTCGCCGTGGCCCAACCGGCCAGAGACTCCCCAGCCCCAGCTCCAGACGGAGCCGTCGGCGGTCAAGGCAAGGCTATGGTAGTGTCCAGCCGACACGCTCACGGCGCGCTCGCCGCCCAGCGGAGAAGGGAGGCGTGTCGGCTTGTTGAGCCGCGTCACGCCCTCGCCGTGGCCAAGGAGGCATGGGATGTGATCCGGCGCAGAGCCGCACGACGAGAGCCGCCCCTCGCCATCAATGAAGAGGCTGTGGTAGTAGCCTGCCGCAGCCCTCGCCGGCGGGTTGGACTCGTGCAGCAGCGCCGAATAGCACAGCCACCGCACGGCGCAGCTCTCGCCCTCTGGCTTCGCCGGCAGCTCGAAGCCGCGCTCTTGCGCCCACAAGCGGATGCCCTGCTCCGCAAGCGAGTGGAAGAGGAGCGAGACGGCCGCGGCGCGAGCGATGTCGAGGGGGCTGTCGCAGCGAGAGAGGGCGCGCTCGAGGAGCTCCCTGGGGAGGTCGAGGAGCCGGGCGGGCGGCGGCGCGTCTGGCGAGGGCGCGGCGGTGGCGGAGGCGGCGAGGCGGCGCGAGCGGCGGCGCGGCGGGGTGGACATCGCGAGAAAAGAATTTATAACGGAGGCGGTCGCACGACACGATTCACGCGACAGGCGAGGCGCGGGCGACGCCTTCCTCAGAAGCCGTCGCCCGCACCACAGGAGCAGTCACACCACTCCCACTCCGGCGCCCACCCACGAATCGCGAGAAAAGAATTTCACAACAAAGAGAATTTAAACAAAACAACTCTCTCTCACAGCGAGAAAAGTATTTTAACCTGCCTCTGTCACAGCAGACAGGCTCGACACAGGTGCGAACTGGTGCGTGCTAGTACTATCGCGAGAAAAGAAATTTAAAGCGCGTTCTCGCAGAGAAAAGAATTTCACAAGAGAAAAGAATTTCAGCTGAAACCCTGTTTACTTTAAGG